TTCACATTTACTATTGATTTGGTTTTCTTACAGGAAGTTACCATCCTTTTTCTTTTTGTACAAAAGGAATATATACTGATTATAAGGAAAAAACATGTATATATATATAAACCATTTGAAATTACTACTAATATCATCCCTGATCTCCACCTTTACTCTGAGAGGCAGACAAGGAGCTGTTGCCACCCCCACTTCACTGATGATGAGGAAGATGACAAAAGACGATGAGGATGACACTAATAACCTCCATTTATTAAGCATTTACTATGTGCCAGGCACTGTTCTGAATGCTTAATCTGTATTAACTCAGCTTTATTTTTTCTCTTAGCACTTACACCTGCCATACTATATACTTATTTGTTTATTGTCTATCTCTCCTCCCTAGAATACAAATGCCCTGAGAAGAAGTAACAGGGTCTGTTTGTGTGTGTGTGTGTGTGTTTTTTTTTTTGCGGTACGTGGGCCTCTCACTGTTGTGGCCTCTCCCGCTGCGGAGCACAGGCTCTGGACGTGCAGGCTCAGCGGCCATGGCTCACGGGCCCAGCTGCTCCGCGGCATGTGGGATCTTCCCGGACTGGGACACGAACCCATGTCCCCTGCATCGGCAGGCAGACTCTCAACCACTGCGCCACCAGGGAAGCCCCACAGGGTCTGTTTTTATTCACATCTATTATACATTCCCAGTATATCTACAAGTAGCTGGCATGGTAGGAGGCATTCAAAAACTGTGGAATAAATAAACTAGTTTTCCTAAGAACATGGGTGAGCCTTATCCAATAAACTGAGGGCCTGAATAGAATAAAGAGCTGAGTAAGAGAGCATTTGCTCTCTCTGCCTGTCTTCGAGGTGAGACATCGTCTTCTCCTGCTTTGGACTTGAACTTGGGCTGGAACTTACACCATCAGCTCTCCTGGTTCTCAGGCCTTTGGACGGACTGGAACTGCCTTCTGGCTCTCCAGCTTGCTGCCTGCTGATTTGGGGACTTCTCAGCCTCCATACCGCATGAATCAACTCCTTATAATCAATTTCTTTCCCATATCTATCTATCTATCTATCTATCTATCTATCTATCTATCTAATCTCCTATTGGTTCTGTTTCTCCCAGACTAATACAGATGTCCAGATTGGCTAAGTGATCTGAGATTCAAATTCAAGTTCAATGTGAGTCCAGTCAATTCTGTTTCCTTAAAGCACAGCAGTCACCCTGCTTTCTTAACCCTACTTTAGTTCTCTTTCACATGTTAAACTGAAAAGGAAGTTAATTAGTGGATTAGACTTAGAAAGGGAATTTGAAGATCTTGGTCACTCTTAATTTTTAGCCCAATGAGTCCCATCTGTTAGATCTTTTTTTTAAAGTTTAACTTCTTAGTTTTTTTTGTTGTTGGTTTTGTATTTTTTCATTTTATTTCTTTTTCCTTTTTGTTAGATCATTTAAATTAACATTTCTAAGAAGTACAGGTTGCCAGTGAGGCACATGTTCAATTTTTCACCTATGTTTTTGTTAAAGCAACATTAATGCCATTGATTTAAAAAAAATACAAAGGAGCAAGTGACAAATGGCTTAGGTGCTTTGTGTTGTTAGGGTGGCATTAACATTTAGAGATCTTTGTTAGAGAATGGTTTCCCAAAACTATGGCAACAGAGATAAAATGACAGACCCACAGAGGCTCTGGAGCCAGACCTGGACTTGAGATCCCACTCTACTACTTATTGTGCAACCTAGGCAAGCCTCTCTGAGCCTTAGTTTCCTCATCTGTGAGATGGGGATAATGATAGTAACTGCCTCATAGAGACACTGTGAGGATTACATAAAATAATGCGTGTGCTTAGCACAATAACTAGCCATATATAATAAGCATTTAATAAATGTTAGCTACTTTGAAAGGCATGTCTAGTTACCTAAAAAATATCTCCCTTTCTCTCTCAAATTAACAAAATCCTCAATTTTTAACTGGCTGTCAATGAGCTGGCCAACTAAAAGACTATAACTCCCAGACTTCCTTGCAGCCTGTGAAACTGTGTTTCTAAGTTCTGGCCAATGAGATGTATATGAAAGTGTTATATGGAACCTTCATTAAGTCTTCGTAAGAGACAGAGGACCTGCCCTTCTTTCCTTTCTCCATTCTGTTGGAGTCTCCTTTCTCCATTTCAGGAAAGCAGGTGTAATAGCTAGAGCTCCAGAAACTATCTTGAACTCTAAGAACAAAGATACAATTATGTTTCTCTGAACAGTGTATTAGGAGGAGCCTGATTCTTTGATGGCTTTATGTAACCTCCATACCAGTCCTGTGCTGCCAACCTCTGAACTTCTTTTATGTGAGAGAGAGGTTAAACTTCGATCTTGTTTACGCCATTATTCTGAGTACCTCTGTTACTCAAGGCCCAAGTAATCCTAACTGCTGTGGCTGGCCCATGTGGTAGGTTCAAAACCACTTTGAGGCCCCGTTTCTGTAAATAAAGGCAAGGTTGAGGCAAAAAATATAGAAAAGGAGATGCATGTCTTCAAAGCCTTTCCTCTCCTTCCAGATGGCACTCAGATGCCACCATCCTCTCTCTCCTGCTCAGAGGTCCAGGCCTTCATGCCCCGTGGATACAACCCGTTCTCAAAGAATCTGATGAAACTCGGTTCATTTTAAGGTAGAAATGATCATAAGGCATCTCTTTCTATTTGTCCTGGGCATTTGTATTTTATTTAAGACAAAGCCTTCTGATAGAATGCTTGGAATAATCAATAGACCTGTGAGAGAACTATTTTGGGGCAGGGAAGCCCACACATAAGGCTACTGCCACCACTAAGGTTGGACTGTAATTTAATAATAAGCACTCCTCTGGTTTAAGGAAGTTAATGTACCTCTCAAAAAGGAGCTCACCTTCAACTCCCAAGGAGTATCAAGGGTTGTGAGAAAGGGAGGAGTGAATATTTGTTTGAAAAGGCAATTAAATTGCATCCTCAATTCCCTCAGGCTGCATATTTTTACACCTTACTTCAACAATCTTTATTACGTCATCAGTTGTAAAAAATTCTATGCATGATGCAACTCAGAAGGTAATTTATTTGTGACCAGTCAGTGGATGAATAAAGAACCTAAACCCCATTCCCCCAAACCTTGGTCCCCTGTTCAAACACTCCTCACTTTTTCTTCCTTTCTGAATGTAAATTGAATATATATAATGGATAGATTTCATTTGAACATGACAGAATTTATGTATCTGAATTTAAATTGCAAGAGAGACCATCTTTCAGAGTAAAAAGTGTGTGTGTGTGTCTGTGTGTGTGTGATTAATAAGACAGTCTTTCCCCTCAGAACATGACATCTGACCTCAAACGTGCATGCTCTCTGGTTTGGTTAAAGTAAAATAATCTCCCAAGAGCTCAAAGTGATCTACAGACTACTAAAACCTCATTGCCTGTCTCCTCTATGCCTTGATTCCTCAACTGATTCAGAGATTAAATGACTGACAGGGTGATTTAAACTCTGGTGACCTTTTCTAGAATCTGGCTCCTTCAGGCTTTCAGACTGATACTGATGAGAGGTTTGAGGAGTTATCAACTTACTTGATTCAACTATAGAGTCTCCTAGATGTCTAATTCCACTTGATAGGCTGAATCCAGAAGAAATTTCTCTATACACATCCCTCACTGAGATAAAATTTTCATGACATTCTACCAAATTTTCTTGTATTCAACAGTCAAGTTTATCTTTGCCAGTGTTTCTCTGACTAGTATTACTAGTTCCAGACCATAAACAACAGGCTCTTGTTTATGATGCCATGACAACCAGCAGATTTATTTTTTAAAGTATTAGAGACTGATTTATATTTCTAGGTAAAACAATGCCCAAGCAAAGGGAACCACAAGGAAGGTGCCATGAAGCCCTCATCTTAAAATAGTTCAATGGAAGAAGACAGAATTTCTTCTGTGGAAGTCTCAGAGGCACAATGCTGATCTAACTTTTAAATTCTACATCCAGGATTTCTAGAAATGGTTGATACCTTAGGTTATCAGAAATTAATAAATCACACCAAGCGTGGGCTAATAAATGGCCTTTTATATGGATATGACCTTATAACCTGAGGCTTTTGCACATAAAGTTAAAGGTTTCTGAAGGAGGAACAAGCAATTAGAAACTGTCAAGTTAATTCAAAAGCACAGGTGTAGCAAACATGCTGCATAAAAACACAAATTTATCACACATGTAGAATAAAACTGGAAAGTGGATTTTATAAGAATATCACTCACTTTATAAAGTTTAAAACTACAGGTTCTTTTAATTAGCAAGTATCAGTGGAGCATTAAAAGCAATTTAATTCACAAAACTGTATTTTACACACTTGCTTTTTAGGAACAAATGAATTTGTAAATCAAGAAACATATTTTAATAAGTTTCAGGTTTAATTTGCCTGTAAAGAAAAATTCAAATAATCTTGTGTAATGAAAATGCAAATATCTATAGTTAGAACAAATTAACATTACTCAATTCTCATTATGTTGTCCTCTTATAAAATAAAAACTCGTCAAATTCCTCCAAAAGGAATTTGTATTTAATAATATGATCATTAATTGTAAAACAAAATATATATAGGCATATGATTAATCATTGATTTTGTTTTTTTAATAGTTAATCATTTAATTTCTTCTGATTATATGCATTAACCTGAAAAAACTTAAATTCAGAAAAGCAAACTATTGCCAAGAAGGAAAAATAGATACCCCTCCCCCTCAATATTCTGGAACTGAATATATGAATAGATCACATATAATCCAACCATATAAAAACATTCTTTTTGGGACAACTATAGTCCAGTTTCTTAAAGTGTTCTGACTGCATATACATATTTACTTGAAACAGTCTCGTGCCATCTATCCACTCGGTTCCACATTTCAACCAGACAAGCATACATCAACACTTCAGCTTGGAATGAGTTCTAATCAGAGAAGTGTTTCTGCAAACCAGAATTCTAAACCAAAGATTTTTCCAAAAGAAAGATTACATGCTTACCGTATAGAGCTCGTTAAGAACCTTCATTAAGTCCTCATGAAGTTGGAATGAAATCTCTTTGCTCTGCAATGAGAAAAAATTAACGATATTAAAAACTGTAACAGAAACTTGTCTCTAGATGACTTACATCTTGAGAAGTCCACTGACTGAAAATAGAACAATGTGTGTAACACGATGGAAGGCCAGCACGACCCTGATACAATAAACATCTTTGATCAAATGGCCCTTTCTAAATACTAGATGTGTGCACCAATGGTTACCACTGGCTGGACAGAAGCAAAGAAGTGGACAGTGTGAATGGCTCTCCCACCATCCAAATCAGACGTTACCAAGAGTGAGAAAAAGGAGGGTAAAGCATCGTGCTTGCTCAAAAGTTGAGTTGCAGAATTTAAGTCATGAAAAGATGAATTCCAGCATCTTGCTTCCCATCTCAGTATCATCACAAGGGAATTTTGCAGTGTGAGTTCCCAGAAGCTAAGTTAGAAACCAAAAGGGAAATTTACTCTCCCTTTCCAAAATAACTATGTGACTGACTACAAAATTTTTTTTTAATTAACGCATAGTTGATTTGCAATGTTGTGTTAGTTTCTGGCGTATAGCAAAGTGATTCAGTTATACATATATGTGTGTGTATATATATATACATATATGTTCTTTTTCAGATTCTTTTCCATTATAGATTATTACAAGATATTGAATATAGTTCCCTGTGCTATACAGTAGGATCTTGTTATTTATCTATTTTATATATAGTAGTTTCTGTCTGCTAATCACAAACTCCTAATTTATCCCCCCCCCACCTCTTTCCCCTTTGGTAACCATAAGTTTGTTTTCTATGTCTGTGAGTCTGTTTCGTTTTATAAATAAGTTCATTTACATCATTTTTAAAGATTCTACATATAAGGGATATCATATACTTCTCTCTCCCTTTGACTGACTACAATTTTAATTTTAAGAAAACACTTTCACAGTAGTGAGTTGGTAAGGCCACTTATGCTCCACATACGTTTTGCCTCTGCATTTATTACTGTTAACTTTTCATTAAGACAAAAAAGAGTTTTACTTTTCCACTCAGTGGGTAAATGACAGCATTTAAGATATTCTTCCCTAGGCTAATTCTGAGGGCTTGACAGAGGAGTATTTGAATTTTTTTTTTCAGCAAAATCTGTAAATTAACTTTAAAGGAAATCATATATCCAAATTACTTTTCTTTTTTTTTTTCCTGTTTTTTTTTTTGTTTGTTTGTTTGCGGTTCGCGGGCCTCTCACTGCTGTGGCCTCTCCCGTTGCGGAGCACAGGCTCCGGACGCGCAGGCTCAGCGGCCATGGCTCACGGGCCCAGCCGCTCCGCGGCATGTGGGATCCTCCCGGACCAGGGCACGAACCTGTGTCCCCTGCATCGGCAGGCGGAGTCTCAACCACTGCGCCACCAGGGAAGCCCTTTTTTCCTGTTTTGAGTTCAGTATTTAGTCAGATACAGAAAATGGAAAAAAATGTGTAGCATGGCTTAATCTACAGTTTGAGACAATAACAACAACATCCATCGTTCATTTATGTGTCTCCTACTGGGCTGTCAGGACTGGGAGTAAGGGCCATATCTGTATCAGCTCTGCGACCCCAGTGTCCTGCACAGTGCTTGGGCACGAGGCCAGAACTAGGGTGAGGCAAGTGAGGTGCCGAGCGTATGGAATTTAAGAAGACACTAGTCCAGATCCCACTTGGGCACAAAGGAAGCTTCCAATCAGCACTTGCTAAATGAAATCTGTAAATAAGCTGAAATACTGTGGTTTGTGTGATTTGCTGAAGGAGTTACTGCCTTTGGTGAAGGCTGGCCACTGGTGAGAGGGCAGAAAAGAAAGGCCCATAGACCACCCTTAATAAAATCAGAGGATCTAGATGAAACACAGTCCATCTGCCAACACTAGGTCATTGGGTTAGGCCTCCCTTAAAAAAGGCCACATGTGCTGAAGCAAAAATTTGTGAACATAAAATAGTGTGGGAAGATGACATCAGAGCAATAGCTCAACTTCGAAAAATTCAAGTTCGTTAGCTGCATTTGTCCCTGGGTTTTCTTGGAGTGATAAAGGGTGCTGGTGTTTATCGAGCTCTGAAAGATTTAAAATCCCTACACTTGAGTTAGAGATTTTATGTTTTGCTGTGTCCCTGCTATGTGAAGAGGTGGGTTAAGAATCACTGAAGGGTGAAAGGAAAGTCACAAGTGAGCAAATGAAGCCAACTGAAACTCATTTTATTTCCCTTAAATCTTGGCTATTCTGACTATATACATTACACTGCAATCTCCTATGACTTCAACTTGGTGTTATTTTAATATCATATTTCATTCAAGGATCTGAGCTACCAATTCAGAACTCTCTAATGGGATCAAAGGCTACCAAGTTAACTCTGCTCAGCTGTCCACATTTCAGGTAGCAAGTCCAAAAAGAAAATATTTCTTGGCTAAGACTTTAGAACAATAACCCCCCAAATCCCTTAGGTCCAATTAACTGCAAGCCAAGAATATTTAGGATCAGATTGAACACTTGGGTTTGGGGCGATAACGGCCTGCTAAACCAGCCAAGTCAAATATCTTACAACAGCAAAAAGGCTCTTGGTACATTTCACATTTTACAAGATTTCAGGTAATGAGGTAGAGGAAGTCTGGCAAGACAGACATACTGTGCTCTGCTGAGCACCCTCTCACATTTTTGGTTCACCTTTCCTCAGAGGCCCTGAAATATAAAAAAGCCTGTCTGGGAGGCAGTATAGAATAACACTTCGAAGCAAGGACTCTGGAGTCAGAATGCTGGGACTGAAGTCTCAAAGGCTTTGGACTCCCCTGTGCCTGAGTTTCCAGATCTATAAAAGGAATGTAGTCATGGTACCGACGTCATACGGTCGATGAGAGCATTAACCAGATGACGCATACACAGAACTCAGAATGGTACCTAACACACAGTAAACATCCCACAAATGTTATAATTATTTAATTCTTTCCCAGACACTGTAACGGTTAACTCCCTTGAGTGAAAAGCCCACATGGTATTCTTCCTTCTTTTGGTCTCTACGGACACTTATTCCATTGACTTCCACATAGGAAGTGCTTGGCAGATACCGGTTGAATTGAGTTGGATGTCCTTCACCCCACTCCCCATTACCCTGGCCTTTAGATCCACCCAAGTGACCCCTGATTTGGAAGGGCCTCAAGTATTGTGCTCCAGCCCTTGAGCCCTTCTTACATCCATACACCCTTGCCACACATGTACACTGAACTTATCTATGTTCCATTTTCGTGGGTATACTACTGGTGGTACCAGATGAATTTATCAAACATCTACTAGGAAATGGATAATTCCTCAAGCCAATGGGATAAGATATATACAACTTATGAAAGAGGCTGTTAAGGAGCCAGGCTTCAGTGGGAACTTTAAATTCTGTGAGAAGTTGGTGGCAAGTTATTTTCAGGTAGGTAGAGCCCCAGCTACCCTCATGACACATCACTGAAGTTTCCGCCTAGATGTTTGCTTTGAATGACAGTCTAAACTCTCCGTGGCCTAGTCAGTAGCCTCGAAATTAACCATTTTCTCCCCGCCCTGCACCACTCCTTTTGCCTGCAAAAACTGTTAAAAGAATTGGGCTGTGCTCTGAAACACTAAACCATGTGACTGAAGGGTGAAGCATGAATTTGCATACCCTTTTGTTCACAGATGCCTGGGCCAGACAACATCAAGTCCTAGTCTGAGTGCTGGGGGCTTGGTCCCTGTCCCCATGGCAAAGAAGCAAAGACAAGATCACCTCATGTTATCCCCACCCCAACTTTAAACATGTCTCCAATTTATTACAGTAACAGTGAAAAACAGTCTTTTCTTCTAAATACGACTCTGGGCCCCAAGAGAAGCAATCTTAAAACAAAACACATCTGCTGTGGCACACGGGATGCTGACATACTCAACTAATGCACTGAAACCCTTTAATTAGAAAATATCTGGATTATCAAAAGTCCATCAAAATTCAATAGGTTTAAGTATACCTCTGGATTCTATTTCATTAAAAATTTGAAAACAGCGAGAGCAGACCCTTGACCCTTGACCCTTGACCAAGAGCTGCTAGGTAAGAAAAAGGATAGGGGTATTAAGGAAAGCAATCAATGCTCCCTTTGTACAAGAGAAAAAAATAACTTTATGAAATGATATACGCTTGAAATAAAGTATTTTTCATGTTATTTGCGATTGGCTGATTAAAATTACTTTGGCACAGGGAAGGTGAGTCCCCTCCAACTGCTTCAGGTATGGAGTTGAAAAAGCGAACAGTTTTTTTTCCCGCATTCTGTGGGCCTATATAAGTTCAAATGATGGTAAAAACTTCTAATGCATTGCAATAGGTTTCTAGGATTCTGACCCAAGGGGAAAGAAAATGGTTAGAACTTCCATTCACTTGACATTTATTAAATGTCTCCAATGTGTAAACCCAGAGCTGAATACCAAGTCAATTTCTAATCATTTCCTATTTATTATCGCTTTGATGTTTCAGACAATTCAAACATAAGTCCAAAATGAACAGTCCCAAAGTTTCCACCTTTTTTCATTATAAAAATGAATTAAGTGTATTGAATAATATTGGAAAAATAGAGAACAGAAGGCCAAAACTACCACCATTATAATTTGATGGGTGTATTTCCTTCAAGTTTATTTATCTAAACAGAGGTCTGAGCTGTAATCATTCTAAAATAATAAAGTATCTTTTTTCTACTCTGCTTTCTTCCAGTTATCATACATTTTCCCATGTACTTATATAATTTTCAGAACATTATTATTGATTAAAATAACTACACAGTGAATGTATATTAACCATTCTTCTATTATGGTTTCCAATGTTTCCACTATTTTCCATCAATCATTCAATTACTTACTTATTCATTCAGTTTCACCAATATATTTTAATCACCCTGAACTATTATCATGAATGCTGTTCTAAAGTCATATCTTGCGCTGTTGCCTTAGTGTCAATTCCCAGACATGAAATTACCAGGATAAAAGTATTGACATTTTAAAGACCCTGGATTCACAT